AAGTAGCAAAAATTTAACTATTGTACGGCGAGTGGAGTTTGCCAATGAGTTATTAATGCTTCAGGTGAAGAGGGCACTCGGCATGCAAAAGTTACTTCATGTCAAGGGTCCAACAAAAAAGTAAAGCTATATCTCTCGGCATTCATACTTTCATTCACTCATTCATATTCGTGCTCGCAATTTCCCTAACTATTGTCAATCAACTCGACTGGACGAAGGAGGAAGCTTTTTGGGCTAAACATTCTTAGACTTAGTTGCTTCTACCTGCAGCTAAACCAGAAACCAAAACTTTGGTTTAACTTTTGCACTCCGTATTCTGTTTCAGTTGAGTTCAGAGCTAAGTTGGTAACAAACCAAAACTAGCTGACAATGCCAGTCGTACTGGCAGTTGGACCAACTTAGAGCCTCATTCAGGCCTGAGATGGGTGTTGCGGGCGGTGCTGTGGCTATGTGTGGGGTGAATGTCAATCATTTCTATCAAATAACTGAGGCACTTAGTGGAGCCAAAAACCGCTGGCCTGGGCGCCAACTTTTTAACAAACACTTCATGCAGAATGTTGTGCAAGTTCTCGGTTACCATCCCGAGCATCCAGCTTCCAGCTTCCAGTGTTCCATCTTCCATTTAGCTCTTAGTGACAAGTTCCCCTCTTAGGAAGCCTTGAAAAACCTTGAAACAATGTCAAAAGAAACTTCCTACAAAGGGCGACTTGTCAGAAATTGCGCATACGCCGCGCTGTCAGGCAACTCAACAAAACTGAGACCATAAAACCAGAGTCAAGTTCTGCGGTAAATTTGCGCCATTGTTTCGCATTCGACACATTTGATGAGCATTTCTTTCAGGCAGTCCAAAAGAGGCAGTAGCAGTAGCGGTGGTTTGGGCACTGAAATTTGTAAGGCTCGTGAAATTGAAAACTTTTACAAATTCAGGTCGGGTCACACTCAATACTCGTACTTATTGCAAATGCAAAATTGTTTTCCCCCACTGCTTGCCGCCGGGAAAAACAACATGGAAAATAGGAAGAGGCAGAGGCAGAAGCAGAGAAACGTGGAAACGAGGAAAATAAGAAACCAGAAGCGGGCCATAAAGTTAAATTGAACATAATTTAATTTGACTGTGAACCGCAAAAGTTTTGCGTTTTTAATTAAACAAACAGCAAAAGTGAAGGAATCAAAAAGCAAAAACGGCGTTGAAGACCTTTCAATGCTTTTAGCCATTTGACGTAGAATGGTTCCATGATTCTACCATCTCTCAGGCCTCTACCATTCGTACCCAGACCGCTCTGGAATGGGAGGCAGGCCAAGGCTTAAACATAAATCATGCTCGGCGTTGAAATTTTGAAAAATATTTTTTTTTTGCAGGGATAACTTTGCATTGTTGCTTGCTGCTTCTTGCTGTTGCTTCTGTTGTCATTGCGATAATTAATCAACATGGCGGCATAGTCCTAGGCACTGCCATTATCAATTACAGGATGATAAATTGTATGGCAAAAGAGTTCTTTCTTTAATAAAATTTATGATGCAATTGTTAAGAATCAGATAAATAATTTCAATGAATTTCATTGACAGCAAGAGCCCAAGCATAAAATACACAGAAAAACAACTGAAAAGAAATGAGTATCAACACACCATTAATATGGGAATACTCGTAATTATTTATGGGCACATGAGAGAGAGGCAGAGGCTAGCCAGTCTGCCATGTAGTTCAGTATTCACCAATCATCTTTGGAGTTCAATATTCTCTTAAAGTTAACGAACAAACCAAGCGTACAATAAGTGCACTTTATGCCATCTTACACATCGCATCAATCCTTTCATATTCGACACACAGAACCCAAATTGATTATGACACAAGGGAAACCCAAAAGCAAGGCATAATCTCTCATAATCCTTAATCAGTCATTATCCCGTCTACTCGTATGTACACACACAGTTTAGCAATTATTTGTAGAGTCTCTCTGTAATGTTGTAAAATTGTTTCTCATAAAAATAACAATTGAGAAATTATTTGAAGAGGGGTGAAGATGCGACTTGGTTGATATCAAACAACATGCCTTTTGTTTTGCAGTCGAACTTAATTGCAGTGCGGCGGTGCAAAGGAGAAGAGATGGACCCAAGAAAGTAGAGAGCCAACCGTGTAGGGAGGACATTGGCCACAAGCAGCTGCAGCAGCAGCTAGATGCAGGCACAGAAGTCAGGACTCAGAGCCAGATCGACGAGGCTCATGAGAGGGGAAAGACAGCAACAGCAGAAGAAAATATAAATTGCATGCGAGCAAGGGCAGCCATTACCTGATGCACACACACACACACACACACACACACATACAGATGCACAAATACAAAGCGAAAGAAGGATGTCTATTTCTGTGTGTCTCTCTGTCTGTATTGGTATGTATCTCTGGCAGGCTAACATGGCACATCCATGTGTGCATCTCTCCCTCGCTCTCTCTTTCTCTCTGCTGTCTTTTGTGTGTAATTAAACAGTGCTGTTGGCATGAAATAAAATATAAGCAGAGGCAGTCAACAACCAAAGCCCAGAGAGAGGGGTCGAAAAGGGTCGTCAGAGTAGGAGCAAAGAGGGGGGTATGGACACTGGCAAGCGGGGGAAAGGGATCTGCAGCAGAATCGGGGTGTAAAGTGGGATGCGGTTGGGTGAGGAAGACCGATGCGGAAACGTACAAAGCATAGCATGAAATTTTCTTGTCTTGGCATCCTGTCGCCGGATATGTTGCCTCAATATGGCCGCCGGATGAATGATGCGTGCACATACAGAGATACATTTACAATTACAGCAACATATATGCACAGATACAGATACAATTGCAGCTACAAATGGGAGACAGGAGGGAGGAAGATACATCCTACAGCTGAGCCAAGGACAATGGATATTTTATTGAATTGTGCCTTTTGGAAATGCGTTTTATACGGGATTTTATATTGTTTAAAATGTTGGCTATAAAGTATTTCTTAGGCCATTAGTTTGACACTTGAAAATTTAGTGCCCCGGAACAAGGTTTCATTCGAATTGAATTCAGCAGTTGATTGTGTGGCAAAATTCCTTTGGTGTAGTTTTTTTTCTCTACTTTCGGGGGGCAATGAATGGCATTCGTGGCATTCTCCTACTGCCCCCCAAAAGCCAATGTATTGGAAATAAAAATGGACACAAAAACTGTTGTGTAATAAACTTGAGCAATGCCCTCTGCCCTCTCTCTGACTCGGTGACCAACTTGCTATGTGTTGGGTGTGTATGTGTGTGTGTGTGTGTGTGTGAAAGATATCTTGGCTGAATTAATTATAGAGTTTCATGAAATTCTAATTAGGAGGCAACAAACGAGGGGCATATTAACCGCAGCCAAACAACAGCACAAGGACCTGCTGAACCGCTCATTAACAGGGATGCAACGACGCAGAGGGGAAATAAGCGAAATTTGAGAGTCCTCTGTCTGATGCTGTGCCGCTTCCGTGTTCGTGTCGCTGTGTCTGTTCCTTTTGCTACATGCTGCATGGTATTTAATTACCTGCGGTTAAGCTATAACTTATGCCGTCCACCAAATATGTTGTAATATTTTCCACCCTTTGTAAAGCTCTCTCGCTCTGTTCTGTTCTGTTCTGTTCTGTCTGCGGCAGGCAGTCGAGTCCCGGTGCACCGGGAAATTGCATGCAATTTTCTGCAGCTTGTGAGAAAATTGATAATAATATTAAAGTTGTTTCCGCAGCAGGCAAGTAACAGAAAGCAGCAGCACATGCACTGTACTGCAATGTAGGTGTAGAGCGCCATAGCTGGCCATGCCAATACCCTACTGTTTCAGATTCTCACAGCTAAGGAAAACCAAATCATATTAAAGTAATACAACGAAACTTTTGCCTTGTCTTTGAGCATATTTTTCGCATCATCACAAACTCATTAACGAAACAGACATGCCCACAGCACACAGCAACGAGTGTTGCAGCGAAGCATCCTTTTTTGTTTTTACGCTGCTGTGGAAAATTGCTAAGAAACTTTTATTATTCTCGCATGTCGCGCCGGCAACGCGAAGGCAGGGGTAAAGGGAGGGCACCCGTAAGGGGTCGCCTGATTGCAAAATAAATGCAAAGGCAAATGCATTTAAAAAGTTTTTCGAAAAACTTCTTGCAATGGCAGCAACATTTTCAAAATCGCTCAACGCATTTAATATTGAAGGAGTCGAAGGGGTAAGGCAGGGGGGGGAAAGGCAAAACCAATCAACTTGCTTTCTGTTGCATATTAAAAGTGACTGCAAAGCAATGTGTGGACTAAAGGGTACCCTTGATGAGAGTGAAGCTGGAAATTTAATAATCTCTGGATACAACAGGAGGGACTTTGACTGTATGTACAATATGCCATTGGTTAACACTATTTCTAAACATTTTCTATGTACCATTGTGCTCCACAAATATCTATTATAATGCGTATTCCGTACATTTGTTTGCTGGTGTCTGAATTAGTGTGTCAAATATAATAAAATTCAGAGCTCGAACAACATCAATAACGTGGCACAATTGTTGTTTGCCTGACACATTAAAATAAAACTATTTTTATGTGATCTCCAATGCTCTACAATCTCCAATTTTATGCGCTTTTGTTGCCAAAAAAATAGAAATGTACGCTTACTTTTTGGCGCTTACTGCTGATTGTTATAGCTGTAGTTTTACTCTACTCTGGTGTACTGGTGTTGGTGTAGCCATTTTGTTTTAGTTGGCAATTAAAACCGATTTCCGAAAATCGCCGAGAGCGGGCACCCAGCTCCTTGTACGCGGCTGCGAGTGCGGCACCTTCCGCAGAATACAACATTTAGCTGTCGTAAAAGTCACGCGCCATAAAACTGACAGCTGTTAAAATGTTGTATGATTCGGTGGGGCTGAAGTGTGAAACACACAGACACACAAACAGAGAGGAGTTGTGTGTATGTTAGTGCGGTGAAATTGCGGTTCCTCTGATGAGTTAATGTGCTATTAAGCAGAAAACCTCTTAGAATCCAAGCAGCAGAGTCGAAATGCAATAGAAATAGCGCTTGAAGACATTGAAATGACTCTTCGTCGCTAGCATTGTGTAGGTGAATGGTTCTATTCACGGTAATTGCAGCATAAAACTTACTTTATGCGACCGTATAAGTGGAAGAACTATCAATTATAGTGGGATTTATGGATGGATGAATGGATGGCCGGCTGCAGCATTTTAAGCCAAGTTTAGTTGCTCGGACTTCCATCAATTGTGACATGCAGCGCATCTAATATCCGCTTTTACTTTCTCCCCATCCCCCCCCCCCCCCCCCCCCCCCCTCCCCAATGCCATGTGATATTTTGACAATGGCTTCAATCATTCCACGCCGTCACATATGTAGCTGAAATCCGCTCAATATCCGCTGCACACACCCCCTCACACTGAGGGAGATTTCAGCCATTATCTATGGCCATTTCCGCATCATTTTCATTTTCATTTTGATTTTTGTTTCATTTCGGCTGGGTGGACGGGTGGAAAACTATAAATGTAGCAGAGGGAAAACCAAAAAAAGACGGAAAAACGACATGCATATTGATGTGGCATCATTTTACATTTCGGCAATGCATAATTTTAGGCATTGCGGTTGAGTTTTAATGTGGCCCAACTTGCCACAGGACATGGGACACGGGGACACGGGGACACGGAACACAGCTGCGAGAATGCATGGTAAATGCTTTATGCATATATCCGTAAAAATTGTAATTAAAATGAACAATGCTTGGGCAATGTTGAATGGTTCTATCCATTCCAGTTAAATGCCATATCAAACGAGAGACGAGACAATAATCGTTAGCCCAATCTCAGCACCACGGGGCGTATGATTGACGTTGCGTAATGACTGGCTGACTGCTGGCTGACTACTGCCTGGACTGGCTGACTGCCTGAACAGTACGAAAAGCTTTTGAGAAGGTTGTCGTTTTAGTCAACGGTTTAGTTGTAAGCCCCGGGAACAGGACTAATTTATTAGGGCCACGTGTAATGCTGGCAATTATTGAAAGCGTGAGACAAATAAAAATATATGGCAAAATCTATACGGTGGGGAGGAAATATAGTAGTAGGAAAGAAGAGCTCTCTGTGTGTGTGCGAACAAATTGCAGTTGGCCGGGCACGTTCGTGGCCAACAAATCACAAGCAATTATAGAAATTTAAGAAGAAATAGCCTGTCCAGTGGCCCAAGCAGCCAACAGCTGCCGCTGACACAGGACACGGACATAAAACTTGAGACTTGTACGAGTATTTGTTTAGTCGCACGGTCGCTGCGAAAAAAGCAGCCGACTAAATCGAAAATGTTTATAGATAAACGTTAAATATAACGTGACAGCGGACACTGGACACCGGACACCGGACAAAATGACAACGGACAGCAGACGGTGGAGGAAAATTGTATTAGCAATAGGACGCTGCGATTAGTGGGCCTCGTATTTCATCGTTTATCGCTGGGCGAAGGCCTGGAACTGGGCCTGGGCCTGAAACTGGAACCTGGCTGGCTGCCATCTCTGCTGTTTGCTGTCCGCTTCCTGTCCGGGGTTACACTCGTAAGCACTTTATTGTGAAATGTACATGAGCGATTATCGCCGTGTTCTACATATTTGTGTTCATTACAAGAGATTAGTGTCCTGAAATCGTTTTGTAATCCGTTATGGCTGTTGTTGCTGCTGCCACTGCCGCCGGGTCAGTGTCGATGCGACGCGCCCTATAAACTCCATCAATTTGCATAATTGCACTCAAGCATGTTTAATTTGTATTTATTGCATTATTACGCATATCAACGGACCGCAAATTCAACAACGACAACCGCCAAAAACGAAGAGCGCGCCAGAATGCCGGATTCTGGCCAAAAAACCCAGGATGATGCACATCCCCAGGATGATAATGATAACGATAATGATGCACTGCGGTCCAGGCTATGCAGCGCAAAATGTGGGAATTTCCACGATGTTTGGTTGAGGTTTCAGTTTCAGTTTCAGTCGGAATTGGACAGGGAGCGGGAATGCAGTTGCAGACTCTACAGATATTGTTAGTAATTTCAACTCTTGAAGCGACTGCCCTTAAAGCCTTGACACACACTTTAAGCATGCTCTGAAAACCATTTCAATTATAAGATAGTCCATATCGCCTTTTGGCATAAATAATTAAACTGCGGCCAGTCCACACACAAGTTTTGGGGCGTTCTATCTTTAGCTTTTATCTAATTGTTGGTTACCTTTTGTTAGCCTGGTCAAGGATAGCCAAACAATGTGTGGGTATTTATTTATGGCCCAGCGGCTAACAACCTCAGATTCCACGCCGCCGTTTCACCCATTCGTCGGTTCAACAAGTGGGCAATGCAGATTCAAACTACTTACACACATTTATATATATACATAGTACAATTCCTGTTAATTATTTAATTAAAACTTTTATCTTCTCACGCACACTCACAACCCCGCAGTCAGGGGTACTGGGACTGAGTGTGGGGTTAAAACAGCTTCGAACTTTTTGTTTCAAGTGAAGAAGCGACCAGAGCCGGAGCTTGAGTCTGTTTGGGTTTAGTTTTCCTTTGCTTTGCTTTGCTTTTTGCTTTCCTTTCCTTTTCCCTAAGAGTTTCCATGCAAATACTTTCTTCAGCTGGATAAACTGCAAAGTTTTTATCAAGTTGCTGCAATGGAAATTGCAATTGTTGTGTTTATTTAGATTTCACCGGCTTACACGTAGCCACCCTCCTCCACTCTCCACACTCTCCCTGCCAACCTTCGACGATTTTCAAGGGGGCCGCCGTACGACAGGGTTCGGTAATTAACATCATGAAGAGCTTTGGATGAATGTGCATGATTTATCTTTGCAGCCTTTTAAAACACACTCAAGAGGTTCATTAATTTTCGCTTCGTCTCGTCTCGTCTCGCATCCAGAGACACACGCAGATTACTCATACGCAACGTTGCTGTGGACAGGCACGGTGTGGAGTGGTGCTGCGTACACAACACTGAAGTGAGCAATTAAAAGCTCATTAGCATTTAAAATGTTCACACGAAAAGCTGAAAAAATTCATCCAAGCAAATCGCTGTGAGCCTTCACTAGCTGCCTCCTAGAATTTTCACAAATTAAGGGAGAGGAGCGATGGGGAGAAGAGTTCCCTGCGTCGGGATGCACACACCGCATGCTATCCTCTGTCGGGTCGAAGTTTTTATTAAATTTTTGTGTCGCCCCCAGTTGCAACAATCAATTACGTGGCCGACTTTTTATGCCCGACATTTATGGTTATTGTTTGGCGGCCAAACCTTGCCTTTTGCATTTTGGTTTTGCCGCGACGGGAGGGAAAAGTAAAAGTTATTTTTATTATAATATTTTTCAAAGGTGGTCGGGCCGAAAAATGATTGCAAGAGTTAAAATTAAAAGCAAATGTAAAATCATATTTCTATGTGTAAACTTTCGCCAAGGCCTCAAGGTCCTTGCCTCTGAATCTGCCTCTGCCTGCCAAGTGAAACAAAAGTTTTTTAATAAAATGTTTGCCTTTCCACACAGCTCGAAAACTTTATTGAGTGCGGCGGCGGAGCACCTTCAGCTCTCTCTCTCTCTCTCTCTCTCTGGCACTCAGATGCGAAAAGAAGCGAACTGCCAGGAGAAAAGTCCAACAGTTACAATAACAGAGCCACTGTACACAGAGAGAGAGAGAGAGAGAGAGAGAGTGCGGCACTGGCACAGGTACTGGCCGCCAAGCGAATCGAGGTAATCGAGTATGAAAATTGGAATTGAAGTTGCTGCCGCAACACACACTCTGAAGACAAAGGAGCTGGTCTGTAGTTCAGGAACAGAAACAACAATAATTGCCTGCTGCAAATGAAAACGAGCCGCCAAAAGACAAACGAAGGTATGTACTTTCTCTGTTCATTTTCACGTTGTGCGTGCGTATGCGTGTTATTGCAGCTGTTTTGGTCGAGGCATTTCCTTTTGCTGCTATCGCCAGAGCCATCAGCCATGAAAAACTAAACAGCGCCTGGGGCGCAATTCGCTGGCATTGTCAATCGCAGACAGCGGCAAAGTTCATTTAATTTTATCATCGATTTACGGAAACTCGATAAAAATCTTTGCCTTCCACTCCGAGGGCCAAGTCGCAGATTGAAAATTTATTACATTTTTATTGCTTTAATGTGCGCGATAATCGAAAATTTATTTAAAAAGAAGTTATAGTAAAGGTGCGGTGCGGTGGGGGGTGCTGCAAATAAGTGCCAGGTTAGCGCCGGCGACCGCAGGGCTTTCTCCCAATGTCGGAGGCGTGGCAGCATTTGATTTGTGGCCACAACCGCTGTGAACTCGAATGGCAACGAAATTTGTCCGTGCCCAATTCATGGCCAGGGCTTAAAAACTAGAAGCGTCATATAGATGTGCCTATTCCTATACCTATACCTATATAGAGAGAGAGAGAGAGAGAGAGAGAAGTATCTACAAGCAGCTTTGCATGCATAATTAACAGGCCAAATAAAAGCAAAAAGGTAAGCTCCAGCACAAGCTGAAAGTAGGACCAACTCTCCCCTGCCAGGAGCCAGCAGCCAGCAGCCAGCAGCAGCCTGTTGTTGGTTATTGAGCTGCTCTACCTTTTAGCTTGGGGGCAGGTGAACTTAATTTTAATTTCGTAGTAATTTCCTGGACTGCCTTTTGTAATTAGTTCTGAGAAAGGTCAAGTGTTTGACCTTTCTTTTGCAGCATTCTCGCTCTGTTTGATCCGTTCCCAAACGTTTCACACAGGCGATGTTCCCGGAATGCCAAAACACTTTCCAAATTCTGTTCTGGCATCAGCAGAGATACGGGAACAAAAAAAAGTTGGCTGGCTATTCAAACATTTGTGTTAAACTGCAGGTAACCAACTGCAAATAAGTTGCTAACAAACGACAGAGTCGCTGCTTCGGTGACAAAAGGGACCGAACCACACTCCACACTCCACACACTCTCTGGAGGATGTACTGAATGTCCATGTCCATGTGTGTCTGTGTGTTGCAAGAGTTAACATTGTAAGCCGCTTATCCTGAGCTAAAAATGTCTGTTTGTTTTTCGTAAATTTAAGCCGCAAAATGGCGCATGTGTGTAAGCATTATAAAAATATACAACTATTCAGCGGGCACACAGTGCAATGGTGCAGTGAGGCCTGCCCCTGCCCCCAGAGTATTCCGCACACGCGCCTCATGGTGCGACCAGGTGGGTGTGGGTCGCTCGTTAGGGAAAAATATGCAATTAATAGGAGATGTTTATGGCATTCATTAAATAAATATTACTGGTATAATTTGAGGCAATTCATTCACTTGGCATTACACACCGAATTCGCATTCGCATTCGCATTCGCATTGCAGTGCTCCTCCGCTTATTAAATATGCTTCGAAGCATTTGAATTATTAATTATGATTTAAATAAAGCAGCAAAAGTTAAAATGAGAGCATTCTCATTTAAATAAATATAAATATAAATATAAATGCAAATGCAAATGCAAATATGCACAAATGCTCCCTATAATCAGGCGCCGGCACCGGCAACAGTTGGACTGAACGATCTGAATTGTTTTCCAGCAGCAAGTGAATGATGTTCCTGGCTACGATTTCATTTAAATTTTGAGGGATTATAATGTATTTATGAATTGTACGGAAATGAAGATATTTTCACATAGAAATTCAATTAAATTCGAGAGTGTGCTGCATAATGATCTATTGGGTGGCGGGTGGATTTAATGCCGTAACTTGGTCGGTTAATTACAAGTTTTATTTATTTTTCCGTAACAATTGGTACTTTTATTTTTTCTGTGTCTGTGTTTTTGTGTGTGCCATTGTCCTTTGTACTGTGTGCAGCGTCAACAGCTGCCGGTTTGGGGAAAATACAAATAAAACATTTAAATGCATGACATCGAATGGAAATTGACACATTCAATTTGGCATCAATTTAGCCGGGCCAGCTGCAACAAATTGCCAAGAGATTTACAAAAGCCAGCAGCTGCCAAAAGCTGCCCCCAACACACATCCCGTATACTTATGTGTCCTCTTTTCAGCAACAGTTTCTGTTCCTACTTTAGTTGCTGCTTCTGCTTCTGCTTATGTTCCTGTTCCCACTTCAACTTCCACTCCTTTTCCCGGTTATCAGTTGAACTTTGCTTTTGCTGCAATTCAAGTTTTGACCGGACTCGTCTTGATTTCATTTTGAAGTTGGTCTCAAATGCAAAAACTTTGCTAATGCAGCAGCCATACAGACAGATAACCGGACAGCCAGCCAACAAGTTTGATGGCTCTGGCAAAAGTCAATCGCAATGGCAAATGCATTTCTGATATGGAAACATGGAATGGAGCTTGTGTTTCAGCTCCATCTGCATATCCTCCCTGCTTATTCCGATTCCGGAAAACTCCAAAGTTGCAATTAAAAAGTTCCCCTGGATCCGTTTTACAAGCGCATTAATACTATGCAACGCATAACTAATGATTTAATTTGTTCTCTGCCCGCCGCTGCTGCTGCTGCTGCTGCTGCTGCTGCTGCTGCTGCTGGCCCCTGTTCTGCCACTGTGTGTGTGCCTTGGTCTGAATCCTGGGCCTGTTTTGCCATCATTAGCAACTTAAAAATGATTATTTGCAATGCAAATTGTGCTGCTACTACTCTCACCCACCTCCTCTCCCATGCGGCACCGGTCCAGAGAATATGAAACGTTTGCCATCTGCATGAGAAATGCAGCAATTATGCCGGATTCAGAGCCAAAGAAAATGGGCAGGCAGAGCTAAGAGCTAAGAGTTGAGCCTTTAAGTCGGATTGAGTATAAATATGAACTTTGCAGATATTCTGCAGCAAAAAAATGCTGGGAAAAGGAAATAGTTTTATATAAAAATCTACAAAAAGAACACTGCAAATTCAGGTATCTTATGCAACATATGAATTTATTTATAGTATGCCAGTGGCTGAGGTTGGGGCTGACACCATTCGAGGTGCTAAGCATTCGCACACTTTCGGTTTGGGGGCAGGAAGCTCTCCCCAAAGATCTCTGTGAGAACTTTTTCTATAAACGTAATAATGACCTGAGCATAATAGACAGCAACTAGACGCAATACACACAAAAATTGAAATACAGCTCCCGCTGCACACATTTTGGGAGCAAAATGGAGGGACTGGGACTGGGACTGGCAGTGGAATCTGGGGTGTTGTGGCAACTGGCAGCTGGGAGACTGGGGGACTGCCACAGTTGTAGCTTTTGCCATTGCCTACAACGCTGCGAGGCGGCCATAATGTCATTTAATTAAACGCCAGAGAGCAGTTGTCGGGGCCTCCTGGCTGTTGTTTGCCGTGCGCTCACTCGATCTCCCTCTATCTCCTCGCCACTCCCGCTCTCTCTCTTTCTTCTGCTCGCTGTGTTACAGTATTTTTTTTTTTTGGTTACTTGTGCGCTGGGTCAACGGCGGCTAAACGGTTAACCAAAGTTAGCGGGAAGCCAGCGCTTCCACAGCCACATAATTTGGCCAGTAGGAGGAAGAACGGAGAGCAGCCAGGGGACCTGAACGTAGGACGAGGACGAGCAATTTATGTTCATTTGCATAGATATTAAAAATTGTTAGGAAGTCATTAGTAGGCATCAGTCAAATGACGCAGCCTGCATATAAATTAAGCATAATTTTATTAGGAGGACTCCACTGGAAGGTCAACCTCCTCGCACTTGACAAATGTCCTGGAGAGGCGGCCTATTCCCCCAAACAGAGGGAAAACAGAAACGTGTGCTTGTTGTCGTATTAATTATTAGTTTTAATTGCGTTTTGTGTGTCCTTTTTTTAGGACAAATCATCCCTATACTTAAGAGTATTTCCCGCTCCCAAAATAGTTGGAATAGAAACCCAAACCGAAAATCTCCGTAACTTTTGGACTCTGACCCACATCCACACACTCGTCGGATATCCTTGTTTGACTTTGCCTTTGGGGGTTTTGCTCGAACAACCCCAGAAATTGTGTGCAATTAAATACTTGAAACCATAATGTATTTTTCACAAGTTGAGCAATGTTGACCATTTGGTTGCGGATGTGGCCTAACCGAACCTACACCGACCTTCGTCTGTGTCCTGCCCCGCCTCTGGTTCTTCGCAGTGTAAATTACATGCACAAAGAAAACTCATTTGTAGTCGGAGACCCGAGGACTGCCAGCTTAACCCCACACTGACCAACAGTGCCGCAAGTCAAAAACTCAGCCACAAGCAATTTTATTCTATTTTTTCCCCCAGCCCCATGCCGGCTTTCTCCTCTTTTTGAAACTGTTTAAAACACATCCAGAGAGATATAACTAATTCGAGTTGCGTCTGCTGTTTGCTTATCAAAAATTTTAATTGCATTTTTTCTGTATTTTTTGTGTGTGTGTTTCCTCTTGAGATTTTGGTCCCGCGGCTTATCCGTTTGCCATAGATATTGTTGTGTGGATTTGTTTGGTTGTACACATCTGTTGTGTTAGCTGTTCGATTGCGTTTTACTTTTGGCCTTGCCATTTCTCGAATTTTGGCGAGAATACGCTAGAGAGGGGACTTGGCGCCGTCAAAGCTGGAGCTAACTCACGTTCTATCGGGCTCCCTCTCTGCCGCTGCCGCTGCTGCTGCTGCTCCTCCAAACTTCAGCTGGACTCCACCACCCACTTCCGTTTCCAGCAGCGTCCGCCGCTTCGGTATTAAATGGTGCGCGTAATTAGATTTTAAATTTATTGTGCTGTGTGCTGGTATTTATTTTGTCTGCCTTGGTGTGCATAACAATGCAATGGCTGCAATAAATAAATAAGCAAAACGTGAATGTGAATTCAATGGCGCTGGCACTCTGTCTCTCCCTCTCGCTATTTCGCTCTTCCTTTCTCTACATTTTTTTCTCTTTTCCTGTATGTGTGTGTGCCTCTGGAGAGCCCACAGAGAGCGAGGCTGAAGCATGGGGAAAAGTTTGAACGCTAAATTGAATTTGGCAATAGATTATCAGATTGATGCTGTGCTTGCCATGGGCTGCTCGCGTACGATTGGGCGCACTAGACTGCCATAATTTGTATCGGATCACGATTAAGATTTCACCTCAAATCAACCTGGAAGTCCTATGCTCAAATCCAGTCCAAATTCGAACTAATTTATGGCTCATCTTTGGCAAGTTTCGTGCCACAAAATTGCGGCAATGCGCCGACCAATTCATGGACTGTCATGACAACCGCAGATAAGTGCCACCGCAGACAAGACAGTGAGTGGTGTTTGCCGTGTGACACGCTTTGTGTGCCGTGTTGGCTTTTAAATGTACATAAATTCTGGGGCAAGCAGCGTGAATAATGAGCGCTTAATAAGGCGCCATTGGCATATTTTAAGGGCAGTTGCAAAAACGCCGCAGTGTATGTTTCATAATTTACATATTGCGAAAATATTTATGCTCATTAAATATGCGCGAAATAAATGCGAGTGCAATTGCATCCGAAATTGTTGCCGGCTTGTTGGTTGGCAAATTTCATAAATCACGAATGTTCAAAAATGGATGTTGTTGCAGCAAGTGCTGCTGTTTCAGGAGCTATTGCTGCTGTTGCTCCTTCTGATGTATGATGAGTTGTCTGCCAGCAGTGCCAGCGGCGGTATCAGCTGCCATATCCTGTGGAACAGCATGGCACAGATAGGAAGTGGGCTATAGATGGATGGATGCGGGTCGCTGTCGCTGTCGCAGTCGCAACCATCTGCCTTGTCTTGTTTACACATGTTCCAAACGCAAATGAGCCGTGAAACGCTGATAATGCAACAAACTGACAATTGACGATTCAACACGTTTGTCTCCACTTCCAACCAGGAGGGAAACGACACAGGCAGGCAGGCTTCCAGTCTTTACAGTGCTTTCCCTGTGCTCCGCTGGAATTAAGTTTAACAAAATATTTTCGCAGCTTTCGTTTGACTCTTGATTCATATCCGTCCCTCTCGCTGCTTGTGTGATTGCTCTTTGTTTTCCAGTTTTTCAGTTTCCCGGCCACAAAGTTCTGTTTACTTTGTGCCCGCCACGCAGCCACGCAGCCAACCTGCCGCTCTGCTGATAGAGCCATTGCATCTTTGAGAACCTCGGCCCTGTCTCTTGCTTTCCATATATCAGTTTTCAGCCCCCACTCCCGCCCTGCTGTCGGCAGCATTAAAATATGCCAATAACAGTGCCATTGCCAGTGCACTCCCAATGCAGGTTTCCCGGCACTCAAATGATGCCGTCTCCCATCAAAATGAGCTGCCAGCGAGTGGCAAGGGCAGAGTGGAGAGCTGACACTGGCCATTGGCCATGGAGCAGCTCATGCATGTCAGGGGCGGCACCGCACCTTCGGACAATGGCGCGAAATGTGTAACGGAAACCACAGGCGAGTGCACAGAGAAACAGTGAAAGGAAATCGAAGGATTGGGAGCAAGTCCGGCCACTGACCGGCTACCCAGCCCAGGTCCGGGCTCAATAATGCAGACAATAAAATGTTAACGTAAATGTTGCGTAATTAAATGTGTTTCCCGCAGAGAGCAAAGTAAAACGAGATTGAGATTGTTTTTCCTCCATATTGTTCGATGAGCGAAAGAGTGATGCGAGTCCATTTTGTTTATCGGTTTAAGGAATTCACAGCAGCAGCAGCAGCAGCAGCGGGCACAGCACAGCACAACTCACAATGAATGAAGGTTAATGGTATTGAATGTCGCAGCGGAAATCACTTGTAGGACTTTCAACTGAAGATTAAATTACCCATTAAGGCGGGGGGTCTGTCTTTTAGACCACAAGCTTTGGGCTATGGTCACCGTCGTCGTCGTCATAATATCGATTGAGCCATCAAAACTTTGACCGATAATTAATGCGCGTGCATCAGCGCTAAAGTGCGGTCATAATTCAAATGAGGACACATCCCTCTGGGGTCCGGATATGTTAGCTGACTGCTGGGTGCTGCCTGCTGCCTGCTGCCTGGCATGCAGTTGCCAATCAATAGTGTCGACATGAGGAAAGTGAATTTACTGAACCGCTGCACGCGGCTCTTCCTGTTCGGCATCGTATTGCTGACGCAGCTCTGTGGCCTAACCACATTCGTCTACGATTTGAGGCGGGAACGTTTCTATCAATCCAATACACTGAGGGTATATTCTGTGCTGGTTCTGCTGCTCCTCATGGTGCTCATTGTGGGGAACGTTTACTTCATAATCAGCAGAAACGAGGAATGGGTATCCATGGTGGGATTTTACGTGATTCTGGTGGTGCGTGTACAGAATCTCTTGTACAGCGGGGAATGCGTTAAACTGCTGAATGAAATGCACCGGATGGTGAGGCAACTCCAGACAATGGCACGGCATCCGAATATCTTTCGAGGGCGACATCTACTGCTGCTCGTGTTGGCTTTTCACACGCTCATTCGTTCACTTATATCGGCCATGAGGCGGGACACCAGGCAAACTATTATTTCACTGCTGATATTTGCTGTTCTGCTGGCATTTCTGCTCCAGATCACGATCAACATTTGCCTCTTTGTGGTGCTGATTGCCTGCTACCATGAGCTGCACCTCTGCACGCGTTGCATCTCCAATGATGTGAGAAAACTGCGACAGGCACAGGTGCTGGAGGGTGTACACCTTTCGGTGCTGGTCGAACAACTGCGCTGCATAACAAAGGAATTGATAGTCCTACGATCGCAGGTGTTTAACATTTCGCGGCGACTCATCAAACACTTTCGATTCCATTGGCTGTGCGCATTGGTACACGGATTTCTACCCTTCACATTCCTAACAGCCATCAATCAGCAGGATTTCTACTACCTCCTCACCTCCGTGCTGAACATTGTGTTTTATTTTACCATATTTGAGTTGTTGTCGTGGGAGTCGCGGCTCTCGCGTAGTTTCTGCCACTTTCATTTGATCAACTATCAGCCAAGCTTCGACAGAACGGTGAGAACGAATTAACAATTTGTAGTTCGAGTCACTTATTTAATTATCCATTCATAGATTGATGAGCTGGTGCACCAGGAAATCAATGAGCACATTAAAATATCCATCTATGGCATTACGCTGGACATGAAATTCCTCTGCCGCCTGCTGTCCCTTTCCATTTTCTTGATATTTGTGAACACGCAGAGCTACTGGCAGCGTCAATGCCAGATAGAACATGTTTCGCCTGATTTATAAGCACTTTATTTTCCATTTTCAGCTGTCAAATTAAAGTCAGAGACATTGTCTCCACTTTTCGATACTAGGCGACAGCCTTTCCCTTGCTCCTTTATTAGCATTTTCGGGCTGTCACGCTATCGCAATTGTTGTGTTCTGCTCTGCTCTGTGTGCCAGTGTCAATTGCACAAGTCAAAAACTGCCTCATAGATGACTTTCCAGATACTTTGCCGGCAATTACGTTGCCGTTTCATTGTTCCTCCAACTTGGCAGGGGAGGGGTTCGGTGCTGGGATTCGAACAAGCTTCATAATATTTTCACTTTTATGGCAGGCAACATAAAAGACGACAGCTCCGGCAATGGCAATAGCAACAACATCATCATTATCAACACCATCAAAGCGGCCAGAGTGGGGGAGAGGTCTACCTCGCCAGGACCTGCCGCCCCACTCAATTGTCGTAAAATCCTAGGGAAAAAAGCAAAAGAGAGGGAGCGCGGAGAGGGACACAGGGAAAAGGGCCAAGTGTGAGTGCGTAAATTTTGTGCTCTCCGGACTCGGACTCGGTGTCGGTGTCGGTGTCGGAGTCGCTCAAGTGTCCTTCCATTCTGTGTCATAAAATTAACGCTTTATATGAATGAAAGCATAAGGCGCTCGATTTTTATCACCAAGGCCAACGAGATGGCAACGAACGAGCTGAGCTCCAGAGCTCCTCGAGGCACTCGTTCTGGCTCATGAGAGCATAAAAAGTTTAGAGTTGAATTAGAAAGACGACAAGAAAGAGAGAAAGAAAGAGGAGAGATGAGTGCGTAAAGATGCTCAGCCCCCCCCCACCAAACGAGTGTCTAATTATTTACGTGCAATGAAAGTTATGAATTGGAGTAATGAACGAGCTGACAGAGAGAAATACGAGTCGAGTCCAAGTACTACTACCACATACCCTTTGGACACAAAGTTCTCTCCCCACCAGCATCCATCACTCTCTGCCTTTGCTGTCGCCCAGCTAGTCATTGCTCTCTCTGGGATTTGTTTAGTATGCTTGCTGTAGTCATACGACTAAACACATTCAAATTTCAACTGCTCTGAAATTTGAATTATAAATTAAACACAAATTAAACAAGCAAGCAACAACAAAACGCTGCCAGTGATGGCTACTGATCCGAAATTTGTGAACAACACCACACGCTCCACTTCCAGCACTGAGCTGGAGTCGCTTGGAGTGTCTGTTGATGCAAATGCTGCTGAAATGATTGGGCCGTTTATAAAGCATCCGCTGGAGCACACCTGGACGCTGTGGTACTTGCAGAGCGATCGCTCCAAGTCGTGGGAGGAGCTACAAAACGAAATCACTAGCTTTGACATGGTGGAGGACTTTTGGAGCCTGTACACACACATTAAGCCACCATCAGAGTTACGTTTTGGCAGCGATTATTCTTTGTTCAAGAAGGGCATACAGTGAGTAGTTCCATCAGATAGGTAGATAGAGCTACCCATCCAATATTCGCTACCTCAGGCCCATGTGGGAGGATGAGGCCAACAAATTTGGCGGTCGTTGGGTCATAGCTACGGGCCGCAGCAAGTTCGAGCTGGACAAGCTCTGGCTGGATGTGGTAAGAGCTTTGTGCCTGTTGGCTGTCATATCTGGGGCTTCCCATACCCACTCTCGACAGATTCTAATACTGATTGGCGAGTCTTTTGATCACACTGAGGAAATCTGCGGCGCTGTCATCAACTTGCGCGGCAAACAAAACAAAATTTGTACGTATCCCATAGGATCTCCTATGGCTCCAAAAACTTTTCCTGTAGCTCCTACACCTCTCTTTGACAGCTGTTTGGACTGCCAATGGACAGAATGAGGGGGCAGTCATTCATATAGGCTTGAAGTTGCGCGAAATGTTGCGTTTGCCGCCGCTCCAGATGCAGTATCAGCTGCACAAGGACTCGATGACCAAGCAGGGATCGATGGTTAAATCGGTTTACTGCCTCTAAGCCTGACACTGTCACTCCCAGCTGTTGTTTGTTTTAAAAATCTTTTAAAAATCCCAAAAAAAAATTCCTTGTTTAAATTTTGTTCAATTGCCATAAATGTGAACCCGGAAATGCTGCGTCTTTGAGGATATTTTGGGGGCGGCGCACTTCACGCTCTACAAAATGTTATGCAAACATATGCCGCACCGGAGCATAAATAAAATGGTTTATATACACACTTACAGTTTGTACTTTTGGGTCGAGCAAAGCTAACTAAAAAGTTGTGCGCTGCAAGTGCACAGTGACTGCAAAAGATAAACGTCCACTTGGCGCGCTTGGCTGGCCGAGCGAAAAACAAAAGACCTCCCAAAAGGGTCAACAATGGAGGATTTTCCGTATCCGTGTCCGTGTCTGTGTCGCTGTCCTGATATCTGCCACTGGCGTCGAGTGCACGACGCAAACTGGCAACAATTGAATTTTGATGAAAGGCCACAAAAAGCCCCGTGAAGACCATTGAAAACTCATTCAAAATAAGAGGCCACTGCCGCTGGACTCAGCCTTAAAGGATTCAGCCGAAAAATGTCTAAAAGTGCCAACAACATTTCAATCAACATTCAAATGGCAGCGGCACGTGTCACTCCACGGCAGACTACAACTTCATTATGATCAACTTCTAGCTGACAAAACTCATCTCTAGCATTGGGTGAACTCCACTCGACTCCTCGTTCATCCTCGCCACTCGACTGCATTTTATGCGGCTCAGGTGGTGGCGGCGGCGGGTAGCATGGGGAGCTGTTAAACCGAAACCGCATCAAAACCGCACACGTCCCACATGGCATGCAGCTACTTTTCAGCACTCCGCTAGCTCTCTGCTGCTGCTGTCTCTCTACCGTACACACACCGCGTTCTTACACCTTTGACATATTGCCCGGGCAGTGGCTGTCACAGTCGCAGTCGCAGTCGCAATGCCGAAGGTGCAGGTAAAGGTACATCTGGGACATGGCACATGCGAGGCGGGTGTATATATTTGTGTGTGTGGAGGCGGTGGTACAACACCGCAAACTTTTTGCCCTTAGACGAAAATTTACAAATTAGTTGCTCGAAACGTGACATCGAGCTGTGTTGCAGTTGCACTTGCAGCGGCAGCCGTATCTGCCTTTGGTCTGTGTCTGCTATAAAAGCTAAAAACTTTTGCAACATGCAACTTAATTAGGAAATAAATAAATTAGGCTGTCTTATGACAGCTACGAGTAAACATAAGTGCAAAAATTGGTCATCATTTGCACTAGGGTGGCATTTCGAGAGCACTTTGAGTGCGTGCTTATCGATGTTACTTCATCATAAAAAAATATACAATATTCATAAACATACAAAGAAGAAAAAGGCAATCCAGAGCCATCTCGATTAGCTCGGTTAGAGTCTGGCATAGCCTCAGAATCGACCATCGGTTTGTGCTCTCTGGGTCTCTGGCCATCTTTCTCATGCATATATCAACACTTTACGGATAGCTGGAAGAGAAACCACACTCAGCTCCGAGCTTTGGTTTTTATGGCCACACCAGCTGGACAAGCACTATGGCTGGTCCATCCACAGCTCCACACTCACAGCCACATCCCTGCCATTTGGTCCTGGGCTTTTGTATATTTTGTGTATTGTTTGGGGGCTCTCGCGCGTTCGCTGGTTTTCGGCTTTGGGTTTGGTTTTGGTCTTCCCTGCTTCGCTTCTTTTTCTACTATTTTTTTCTGTTGTTGTTGTTTGCTGGCCAAAACAACACTACACAACATAAAAATAAATTGCACTTCTGACACTTGAATACAGTCGAAGTGGAGGATGTAGTGCCAGCAGGAGTAGGAGTGGAAGTACCAGTCGATGTAGGTGGAACCAGTAGCTGCTGCTGCTGCTGCTGCTGCTTGGGCAGCGACACATGATTAAGTGGAGTTTGCGGTTGGCTTTGTTCGGGGAATACGCATGTAAATCTATTTGGGTATACATTATCGTCGTCCAGTTGAAGCTTAACTTTTATCATATAATAAAATGTAATTTTCCAACTCGTAACTCTCTGGTAATTAGAATTTATAGCGAGCCAAATCGTTCTTGGCACGTGGGGGCAGACTGGAGTGGCTCATACAAAAATAGTAGAACATTTCATTACATTTCCCCAAGAACAGAATTTCATTAGCCGCATAACGAACAAAAGCATGCAACATATTTTTTTTGTTTGTTGTGTGTGCAGCGAAGCCTTTTGCTTAAGGGAGAGGAGATAATAATATTTTCGAGGCGGGGTTTCCAGAGCATTTGAAATGAAATATTCATTTGCCAAATTCCACATCAAGTTTCGTTTCATTTCGTTTCGTTCGTTTCGGCTCTCTTGCAAATTTTTATTATAAATTAATAGGAATTTATGACGCCAACAACAAATGAAACGAATAACGAATAACGAATAACCCACACACACACACACACACACACACACAGACCAACCATAAGCTCGGGGCCAGTGAATCACCTTCAAAGCGGCACCGTGTAAGAGCGAAGGGATGGATGTCGTCTTATGGCCCCGTTCAAGATATTTGTCTACAAATATTATTGCTATTCGAAATGTGTAGTATCTTGGGTTTTGCCTCGTTTCGGCTGGCTCCTGCACAAAAAATTCTTGTCTGCCAAAAATGCAGGCAGGAATGTCTGCTCGGCCCGGCCTGGCCCGAGTCCCTTGCTAGCTGTTGGCTGCTGGAAACGACCTGGCATGGAGCTTCTAGCCCAAGTTAACCTCGCTTTCATATAATTCTTAATATTTCGCTTCATAAATATGTAAATAAATGCCAACACGATGGCCGGGGTGAAACCTGGGAGAAAGAGAGCAAGGAAAAAAAGCAAAAGAAATCTTGACCTGAATCTTGGCGCTCCTGTAGCCATTTCATAGAGGGAAAAGAGGGGGTCTAAGATGGAGACTGAGATGCGTTGTGTGAAGGAAACTATAAAGGAATCCCACAAAAACCGCATGGAACTCACAACGGGATATTAAGCACAAAGTTGGCCACAAAGATTTTCGGACGAAGCAAACTTAATGAAATAAAGCACTCGCTTAGCACACACACACACACACACACACAGCACACACACGCACACAGATCGAACGGGGCATGGGGCGAGACAAAGACCCAAAAACCGTAGACGGAACCTTAACCTAAAGCATAAGAAGTCAGTCATGAAAAGCGTACGTGAGCAATGAAAAAGTCGCAAACACTTTATTATACGCGGGCGGTGGAGGGGAGGGGTACCAGAAGCAGAAGAGTAGCAGCGAGCTCTGAATTGGGGGCGGGGCGGGCACGGTTGGTGTGGCAGCCACATCAAAATGCTACGCGCTGCGTATACGTAATAGGTTCTATGTAGATGCAACCACCCGCACACACACACACACACACACACACACACACACACTGGGACACCCATTACTCATACGCCGTCGCGTCATTGTGGCGCAGTCAGATAAAGAGCCAAGAGCCAAAGACAAAAGAGAACCGTGTCCGTGTCCGTGCCCGTGCCCGTGCCGGACAAAGCAGGAGGTGCCCAAGGGGAATGGGATGGACGGAGGAGCAGGCAAGGGATACCAAGGACACGCAGCGATTCGTGGCAATGCACATAAGCTATTTTGGTATTTTAAACATGTGCCCAGCAGCTAATGCATAGTTTATGGGTCCCGGGGCCTACGACTATTGCCAAAAGTGTTGGTCAAATTTGGTCAGCGATTTGAACGTACCTCCGAGGCGCCTGTGGCTTAACCTCCAGAAGGAGTGTCAGACTCTGCTCCTCTCTTTTTCCATTGAAAGCGAAACGTTTAAGCAAACTTTTATATCGAATATTTATATGGAGCAACGGAAATAATCTTTACAGACAAGTTCGTGTGTCTAATTATAGCCAATAAACCGGAACCCATTCGAACTTACGTTTGTCCATCGGGTCTCTCGGGTCTTAGGGCGAGTGAAAAGTTTCTTTTAATTTCACACACAATCAATTTGTGTTTATTGGCTCATTATAAACATTTTAGAGCTGCCTTGGCCCTGGCCCCAAGATGACTCTTAGCATTCCCAGCACGTGGGTCGTATACTTAATTTGTTTAGTCAACGAAGCAAATCATTGACCAGCAGAAGAGTCTCCAGTCCCCCTTTACCTTGAGGGCTCTGCTTCCTGCAAGACGTGCGTGAAATGGTTAAAGATTTATGGAGAGGCTCAAGCAAGTTGTATAATTCTTACCACAACCAAAAAACCAAAACCAAAACGAAATCGAAACTACAAAGTGCACTAATTTGAGGTGTTGAAACGACATGCACAGGGCCCCAAAGAGATCCTTAGCCACAGGCTTTTGATGTTCACCGAAGGGTTGAAAGGTGGCATAATCAAATCAAGGCTGCCAAGACCACTGAAAGGACGAAAAAGGTTTATTTGTTTGACCCGCAAATCTCTTTGTTTGTCCTTCGTTTTTTGTGGCCGACACCTTATTTGGCATTCAAAGCAAACACATTTCCACAGCACTCCGCACACAACTTGAAGGGGGATTTCGGAGTTCGAGCTGCTTATTAACTGTCACTTGGCATAATTTAAATATATAATAATTCTGTGCGTCTGCCTCATATTCTTTTTAATAAGTATGCAAATGACAATGCCAGTGCCACGCAGTGGATGGGATTTTCACTCGAGTTTTGTTTTCCAAAATTTCGTGTAATTTGAGGATGAGATTTCTTGTGTTTTTCTTTTCTTCTCCATTGAAGATGTGTCTAGACGGTCTTAAGCGCGCCAGAGATTATGTGAAATTCATAAGCCACTGCCTCTTGGCCGCCAAGAAAAGATGCAGAAGGGTATGAGAACGTTGTTTCGGGATTAAAGATGCCACAAACACGAAATGGGTGAGGATTTGTTCAAAGTTAAACTTCATTTAAGCACACAAACAAAGCGAAAGCCATTAATACAAATAGATACATATTTGATGCTCTTATTGACGCGATAGAGAATCGATTTAAATCATAATTTAATTGAGTATTAAAAGCTC